ACCCCGACATTGTAACAGCTCTGTTTCTTCAGGCCCGGATGCCTTAGACTATTTTAGTGAGCTGAGACTTCAGGCAGCAGGTTGCTGGTCGGAGTACAGCCTGACTCTGCAGGAATTAAAAATTGCTCCCAGCTGTGTGAGTCCTCCTAAGAGACGAGTCTTGGGAGAGGGGTGGGTCACACTTCTAGGCTGGACTTCCTAGCTGCAAAAGGAGCCCTGCACTGTGAGGCTTCAGGATTTCCAGGGGTGAGTATTGGTGCTCCTTTGCAGGTGCATTGTCAATATGCAGCATATTCACAGTTGCAATGCCCTTCTTATGAAAACCAGTGAAACCAGATGTCTGGAAATCTTTAAAATACATTTAGATGACATGGATGGACAAGCATCTGCTTGGAGTGTGACAGCCCTAGGGTAAGAGTTCTTCTTCTGACAGAGTTTGTTCCGCTTCACAGTAAATCTTCAATTTTTTGCTTTCATTCAAAGTAATAACCCAGACTAATTTGCAAACACAAGAAGCTTCTTTGAGACTGGAGGACTGCTCCCATCCAGCTCTGCTCACCAATCTCGTCAGGTGTAGCCTAAGCCATGAAGAGATGCTGGGCTTCAGCTTGGCCCTTCCTATGTGGAGAGGAGGCAGGCAGACAGTACAGAAAGTGCTGGAAGCTTGGTTTGCTGCTTCCCTGAGAGAACACGAGGATTTATTCACCCACACAAGCAGGCTAACAACTCCTGCTAAGCAGACTCAACTTCTGAATCAGAAGAGGATGGTGATGTGGAAGCTATCACATTAAGTAATTCATACAAATGACACAATTGAAGTCGCACAAATGTTTACATTTGTGGATACAGATCTTCTCACTTCAAGGCATAAACCTCCCACAAATGACACAGGTTGAAAAGTGACAGAGGGGGCCCATTACTGTCCCTTCTCACATCTTTGGCTCCTCCTGTTGCTGGACTGGCCACTGAGTTGAACCACCTCAAGACTGTGGGAGTTCCTCACGCCAAAGAATAGCCAGATCATGGCAGCATTGTCACCACTTGTCTTCCTCAAAATTATCTCTTATCACCTGCCTGACACAAAGCTGGATCTATTCTAATGGTTCCACTGTCTCCAAAACAGACCTCACAACAGCTACTACAATGCAAGTCTCTTTTTTACCTCTGGAACTGCCTTCGCTGCTGCCCCTGGGCCTGAGAACCAGCAGTACCTCCAGCTTTTTTTCTCAGGAGTCTCTCTCTCTGCTGATCCTACAAATCTCAGACCAAATTCCTCGCTATGTAAGACATTTGGGGTCAGCTCAGCCAATACTGAGAATGAGAAATTAAATCTGCCCTGTCAGCAGGGTGATAAAACTGAGTAGATCCTGGATCTGTAGGTCCACTTTAGCAAACAGGGTGATGAAGCAGGAGCAGATCTGTAGAGGGAAACAGCTGATGACAAAGACTTTTTGGCCACACTGTAAATGTCTGGGGATTTACTTCAGACTAGCCCTAGCCCAAAGCAAAGCTGAATTCTCACAATGGTCAGAGCACATTTGCTGCACATCTTGCAGGTCCTTTCCCCCAAATTGTTCATGTTCTCCTGATCCAAACTGAGGTGCTAATGCAGCTGCACCTTAACTGTCCACCAGCATGGACTCCTATCCCAATTCTGATGGAGGAAAGGAGCACAGAGATACTGGCAGACAACAGGCCCTAAAACGAATGAAGACAAGGAAGATATTGGTGCCTTCACTTCAGTAGCAAGATGGGTAACAGGAAAATGAGATGTCTATTGCCTTGTGAAGACTTTCTAGCCAGGATCGCCCTGACTGAGGTGACACATCCTGGAAGGGTAAGATTTACTCCTCTGACATGACCAAACCATTCCTCTGAGCGCTACTCTCACTCTTTCTCCTATCCTCTCTTCCCCCTTTCCCCTGTCTGTAGGACGACGCTTGTTGGTTGGCGATGGAAGAGGCCACCACAGTAGCTGTGCAAACTGAGGCACCCTGGGCATCCAATGCCCTGGGCACCTTGCCCTCCAAGCACCCTTTGCAGCATCAGCTCTTTGGCTTTCCCCTCGCTTTGCACCCACCCTCCCCACGTCTCCTACGGCCTGGGTGCCTCCTCATATCCTCTTTGGGAAAGGGAGCCGGTGCCTTCTTGTCCCGCCAGTGGCACTGCGGGGTCGGCCCGTGTGTCCCGTGGGGCAGGAGGGCTGCACACGACGGGGAGCCGCCGTGCCTGGGCCATGGCAAGCGCGGCTCCGGGAGCACGGCCGGGCGCAGCCCGCCCCGTCGCCTCGGCCCGTCGGGAGCAGCGCAGGGGCCGGTGCCGGGGCCGGTGCCGGGGCGGGGGCCGGTGCCGGGGCGGCGGCTCCCGCGCCCGTCCGCCCGTCCCGCCCCCTGGCTGCTTGGCCCGGCGGTGCTCCCGCCGCCGTCCCCCGCCGGCGCTCCCCGCCCCTCGCTCCTCGCCGAGCCCCGCCCGGCGGTGGCCGGAGCGCGGGGCCGGGGCGGCTGCCTGCGGCGGCCGGAGCTGCGGCGGCGGCGGCCGGGGCCGGGGGCCGGCACAGCCGGGCAGAGGCGCGCACAGCCGCGCGGGGCGCCCGTCGCCATGGCAGCGCTTGCTCCGGCGAGAGGTAAGATGGGTCCCCCCGGCCCCAGCCGCCGCCGCCGCGATCGGCCCCCGCTCCGCCGCCCGCGGCCCCCGCGCTCCGCCGGGCGCAGCGCGGCGCCGCCGCCGGGCACGGCCGCGCCCCGGGGCGCCCCGCGGGCTCCGCGGCCCCCGCCCAGCCCAGCCCAGCCCAGCCCCGGCCGAGCCGCTGCGCTCCGCCGCCGCCGGGCGAGGCTCGGGGCGGCCGGTCCCCCGCCGTGCCCGGGCTGCCGAGCGGGGGGCGAAGGGAGAGGGCGGCGGGGCAGCGGCGCGCCTCGGCCCGGCCGGCCGCGTCTCCCGGCACCCCGGCTTTCCGCGCGCTTCTTTGCAATCATTCTGGGTCACCTTCCCCTCCGAGCCCACTCCCTCGCCTCCCCCTGCATCAGCAGCCCCGCCAGCGTCTCCTGTGCTCTTCCCCCGCTGGTGGGATGGGCGGTGGGCGCACCCAGGGAGCGCGGCCAGGTGAGGACGGGTTTCCCCGACCTGCGTTAGTTCTGGGGCACTCCGGTCTCCGCGAGCGGGAGGACCACAGCTTGAAGCAGAATTGGACCCCAAAGCCAGCACAAGCAGAAGGATTCCAGCCTCATCGAGGGATCAGTGTGGGCCACCAGAAGAAGTTGGGTGGGAAGGGTGGTGGAAGGAGATGCTGCAAGGAAATTGGTTCCCCTGGGATTATCAGAGACGGGTAGTTCTGTAACTGTCTCCAGAGGCCACAGGCCTAACTGCAGGCGTGGTGGTACTGGGGGGGAAAAAGATGAAACACAGTAGAATGGGGGCATCGCCAATCCAGTCATGGCAAACTGCTCCAAGCAGAGAGGAAAGGAGGCAAAGCCTCAGGTGGTCACAGAGAGGATGAGAAAATAGGGAGAAGCAGAAAGAATAGGGGGATGGGAACTGATCCACTAGCTCAGGCTTGGGTACTGATCCATCCACATAGAGATTAAGTTTACATCTGCTCTGGTCAAGGCACAGAGCAGGCCTGCACCTTCCTCGAATGTACTGCTTGGGTGTCCCCTGTGGATGAAGACAGAGAAGGGGGTCTGAGCTGGTAGGACCAGGGAAGGCAAAGGTAAGTAGTCTCAGGTATAGGTTAGTAGTCTTGTTCCCTGGGTTTGTGACTGGGGGGGTCTCTGGGGACCAGAACTCCTCCAGCAGAAAGATGTGGCTGAAAGACCTGTGTGCCAAGAATATGGAATGGCAGGGTACTATTGGAATGGTGGAATGCTGCCATGGATGGGACAGGATGGGAGCAGCAGGTTAAAAACCAGATCATTGGCAGAGAGAAGCTGAGGTCTAAAGACTCTGGGAGCTGTGGGAGCTGTACAGCTGAAACAAGAGGTGTAGTAGCACATGCATGGGGATGGCAGGGCTGGAATTGCAAGAATCCAGATCAGACCTTCCACACCAGAAATGGCATTAATAACACTTTGGGTGGTCAGCCTAGGACTGGAAGGGCAGGGAACATGGTGTGTCTCAGCACCACTGGATTGAGTTGGTGGGAACCAGAGTCCAGCCTGAGCTGTGCAGGGACTGGTGCAAATTTGGTTTTTCTGTTCCATGAAAGACACAGGGAATGCTCCACACTGTCTAAATCATGACAAGGTGTTAGTGTGGGCAAGGAGAGAGAGAGAGAGAGAGAGGGAGAGATCTGGGAAGATAGAATGATCTTAAATTACTTTTTCTCTTTCCTCTCTTCTACAGTGAAACTCATGCCCTGAATCTCCAAGGGAACCTTTGAAAAGGATCTTCCCCTCCATGACATCTCCTTATTGTTTGCCAGCTGTGCCCTGTGCAGGAAAGCTTTGAAGACCAGTAAAAAGAGCACAGCAAAAAGGACAATGTAGTGAGAGTGCAGTGAGGTCTTGGGTAGGGAGCCCTTTGAAATTTGTTTCTCAGCCTTCCCTCTTTGTTGATAGCTCTGACAGCCTTGGCAGGAACCTCTACCTGGCATTTGGTGAGAGGGGAATTACCAGTGTATGCACCACCCCCACTTTTTCGTCAGGACCTTTGCTCTTTATCCTGTCATCTCTGAAACTCTTGCCTAGCTCTTCATTTCCTAGGACCCTGGGAAGCAGGCACTTGCTTCTGCCAAACTGTTTGGAGTCCCTAGAAGTCCCTGTTTGTGTGTGGCCTTCACCAGTCTCAGCAGAAGGTGGTCTCTGAGTCAGAAGGTGTTCGGCGGGCACATGAAGTAAGGAGAGCTTTTTATTTGGAAGAAGAGTGGAGGAGAGTGATGTAATAGATGGGGAGGAAAAAAAAAAAGTGAGCCCAAGTGAGTGAGGGAAGAAGCACTGGCAAGTGTTCATGAGAGAGAAAAAAGGTGGAAGAAAGAAAAAGAAAGAACGAGGGAAAAAACCAGATGAATAAGTTAGAGCAAGGGAAAGAAATATAATCGAATAGGAGGGAAAGGGAAGACTGGAAGCGAGACAGAGTTGACGGCTGTTCTGCCTGGCACCTGATGGCAATGCCTTGAGAAATCCTTCCAGCGTGCAAACAACTCACATTGCAGCAGCAGATGAGGAGAGACGTGGCTCTCCCAGTGCAGAGTCCCACTCACCCTCCTACAAAATCCCAGCAGCAGAGGCAGGGTACAGTCTAGCAGGGGTGGCAGCATGGGGGACTCTGAATCAGAGTCCACCTTGCACAACAACTCACTGTGGTGGCTGGCATGTGGGATGTTAGCTCTGTTGGCCAACTCTTGGATCATCCTCAGCATCACGGCCAAACAACAGAAACACAAGCCTCTGGAGCTGCTGCTATGCTTCCTTGCTGGCACACACATCCTTATGGCAGCAGTACCCCTCACCACCTATGCCGTGGTGCAGCTGCGGCGCGAGTCCTCTGACTACGACTGGAATGAAAGCATCTGCAAGGTCTTTGTCTCCACGTACTACACCCTGGCACTGGCCACCTGCTTCACCGTGGCCTCCCTTTCCTACCACCGGATGTGGATGGTGAGGTGGCCGGTCAACTACCGCCTGAGCAACGCCAAGAAGCAGGCTCTGCACGCAGTCATGGGGATCTGGATGGTGTCATTCATCCTCTCCACCCTGCCCTCTATCGGCTGGCACAACAATGGCGAGCGCTACTATGCCCGTGGCTGCCAGTTCATTGTCAGCAAAATAGGGCTGGGCTTCGGTGTCTGCTTTAGCCTCCTGCTGCTCGGAGGAATCGTCATGGGCTTGGTGTGCGTGGGTATCACCTTCTACCAAACCCTGTGGGCACACAGAAGACGCCGGCGGTGCCACCATCAGAGAGCGGAAGAAGCGTCATCCTGCTCTTCATCAGCACACACCACTTTCAATGTGCCGGCAATTGTGGTGGAGGATGTACGAGGCAAAAGGAGGTCTTCACTGGACGGCTCCGAGTCAGCCAAGACCTCCTTGCAGATGACCAACCTCATAAGCGCCATTGTGTTCCTGTATGACACGCTCACTGGGGTGCCTATCTTGGTAAGCATCCAGTTCTCCCTTTCCCTTCAGATTCTGCAGTTAAACCAGATTTGCTTTTCTCTCGAGTTTCAGAGAAAGATCTCTCCTGTCCCACCAACCGCAGAACTGCCGCATCTGAATCTGTGTTATTCTGAGCGGTGGTTTTAAAAAGATTGCAGTAATTCTCTCATCCTTCTGCAGCAGCATTTTCTTAAGTCTAAGCCTGGGGAATACACACCACACAGCTAAAACCACTGTGCAAGTTCTAAGTGGCTAAGAAGAGAAGAAATTATTCTGCAAACTTACTTGTGAAAACAATGAGATTTCTATTGCTCCAGTTTGCTTCTGGAGAACTGATACACCAGCTTTAACAGCTGATACATCCAGTTGTCTTTTTCTTTCTGCTTGTATGGCTGTAGGTAGCATTCAGGTTTTGGCTAGCCGATCGATTCTGTGCAAAATTGGAGAGCTAGAGAAGTTCTCAAAAAGAACCCTTAAAAGAGGAGAGGCTGAGTCACAGATTTTTTTTTCCCAGTGGCTGTGTCCTTTGTTAGCACCTATTTAGCTCCAGCTGGTAATGAGCACAGGAAGAAGGGATGCTAGCACCAGGTCTCACGTTAGAGATATGACAGCTTGGAATATGGTCCAGCAAACCTGGGGCAAGACCCCAGGAGCAGTTTTTCAAAGAGACACAGAGTAATTACTTGATGAACCCTTTAGAGACTGATTATATTCTGCTACAGAACTGATTTGTGTTACCTTTGTCCCTTGATTCCTACTTCTGTCTCGTTGGCATTGTTGCTTTTTCTTACCTTAAAGGTCGTGAGTTTTTTCAGCCTGCGCTATGATACGGCCCCCACCTGGATGGTTCTGGCTGTGCTCTGGTGTTCCATGGTGCAGACCTTGCTGCTCCCCTCTTTCATCTGGTCCTGCGAGCGCTACCGAGCAGATCTCCGCACCGTGTGGGAACAGTGTGTGGCTATCATGTCTGAGGAAGACACAGAGGATGGTAAGCTCCTCACCTGACCACAGTCACCTTTCTTCACTAACCAACCTCCCCAAAAGACTACAGAGGAAAGAGGGGGTCTTTGGGAAAAGGATCTTGTGGTGTTGTGGGCGGCTCGGTGATATTCATGTTATAGCTTGGGGTCAGCAGCCATGAGAAAATTTATGCTGTACAGAGGCTCTGCCACTCACTTGCAGCCTTAGGACTAGCATTCATGAAACATAAGCGCAACATCCTCCTCACTAGTTGCAAGCAGAGATACATTGTGTGTGGCTGCCAAACCACAACCAAAGTGACATGCTGGGCCTCAGCCCAGCTCGCTGATCCAAGGGTCCCAAGACCTGGCAGTGAGCGAGTCAAAGACAAGACAGAAAAAATAGGGCACTGTCTGGGTGCTTTAGTGCTGCTGCAAGCAGAAAGACGAAGTCCTTGTTCAGAGGTGAGCCCTGAGGGCTGCAAGTAGGGCAGCACAAGTCAGATAAGCATCAGGATGGTGTCCAGGTGCCCTGATAATGCCCCTCTTGTGACTGAAAAGCGTTGACTGCTGTTCTCGTCTTTGCCAACAGATGGTGTGTGTGATGATTATGGTGATGGCAGGATCTGCAAAGTGAGATTCGATGCGAACGGCGCTGCAGCTGCAAAGCGGGACTCCCGGGACATCAAGCTGCTGCCCATGCACCACATGTTGTTGCCCCAGGACAAAGTGCACTACCTGCAGGTGAGCCGAGAGCTAGCGGGGCAGCCCCACAACCCACTTCCTTCTCTGTCAATTTCCCACGCCTTTGTGTCCTCTTGACTCTCTTCTCTGAGAAAACCGCAGCTACTCCCTTCCTGTTCTGATTCTTCAAGTCTTCCATCACCTGCCCCCTTCTCTGTTTTCCAGGTCCCTATCTCACGCAGAATGTCACATGATGAGACTAACATCTTCTCCGCCCACCGCTCTGCTCCATCCTTCCTACACAAGTGGTCTTCATCTGACGACATCCGCATTTCCACCCCCCGCAAGCCTGGGGGCCCTGGTTTCTTGCCTCCCCAGCTGCATGACTACCAGCACCGCCGGCGGCCCCCAGAAGATGAGCTGACGACCCTACGGCAATTTTTGGAGGGGGGGCTGTTGCCCCGGGGCTCCAGCTCCAGCACCTGCTTCTTCCGAGATGAGATCACCACGTTCATTGACGAGACGCCACAACCCACCCCAGCCTGCAGCCCACGACACTCTCGTCTCCTGCTTGCATCACGGCGCGACCGCCGCCTCTCCCTCGGCAGCAGGGAGGAGGAGAATTCCGACCGGCCACGGCGCTGCTCCGTACTTGGCAATGAAGTCTGGCATCTGCAGGACGGAGAGCAGGCGCCATGTGAAAGGACCCTAGAGGCCTCCGAGCCACAGACCTGCCAGGACCCCAAACTATGAGAGACAGCATCAAAAACATTCAGTGCCATCACAGTTTTTAAATAAAACTCCAAGCATTCCCTTTGTCCCGGGACCCGATCACTAATTTGCATTCTCATCTTTCTCGCCAGCAGGCAGAAAACACGGCACCCATGCTGGTGGGGGAAAAGAAGTGGAAAAAAAGTGGAAAAAGAAGGGGAAAAAGAAGGGAGCACAACGGACGGACGGACAGACAGCCTGTGCCTGCTCTCAGGTTACAAACACATCCACCGCTGCCACCACCACTTGGCACCCTTACCAGTCCTGTCCTTTTGTGAACTCCACCCTCGCATCCGCTCTGCCCTAAGAGACAAGACAGGCGCAGAATGGTATTAAAATTCTATATTTGGAGTGTCAATCGTGTGTCTGTTTTTAAAATACTATATTAGTAATAATTTTGTTTCCATAGAAACAAAATGATTGGCCCGATGTTTAATGAAGCTTCACAGGCTTCTAGAAAGGAAATGCAGAATGTGCGAGGATCCTTTCCTCCCTCTTCATCCTTTCTTGTCAGTTCCTCTGAAAGGCAACAGATGCTTAGCCGCCGAGAAAAGGGAGTGATGCCCTTAGATGAGTTGTCATGGGAGACTGGGTGAAAGGTCTTCTGTCCATTTCACAGTCGTGCTAAGCAGGAGAGGCCTTAGGTTTCTAACACTGCTCAGCAAAAGGTTTTGCTTTGAGGCAGCTCTAGGCTTGGAGAGAATTAAATTCTCTCCAAGAAGACCCTGACCCTTAATATTTCACCAGTGCAGACTGTTGATTCCAGTGCAGACTTTGTGTAAAACTTCAGATAGCCTGAACTTCTCAGCCAAACAGTAAAGCTGACAGAGGCTTCTGGGGGAAGGCCCCCTCAACTGCCCCCACCGTCGGAGCTGGGAGTGGTGAGGTCTGGAGCAGGCTCCTGCCCCAGACACAGCTCTTGTCAGTGTGTGCGAGATGGACCTTCTGGCTGGTGCTGGCTGTAGTTCCAGCCATGGGAAGTGTCAGAGGAGAGGGAGATAGGTAACCCTTCAGCCCCAAAGCAGTTGTCCATGTGATGGGAGTATGAAGTGTCCAAGCGTGACTCCAAGGAGAGGCCTCGTTGGAGGCGTTTGAGTGACCCACGCCAAGGGGAGGGTTCGCGCTGGGGCGGCCGCCCGGACCAGGGGCCACGTCAGACACCGGGAGCGGCAGCAGCCCCGGGAGCCCCCGAGGCAGCGGCGGCTCTCGGCCGGCACAGCAGGACCCGGGCCGAGCCTGCCCGCCCACCGCGGCCCCGGACCGGCACCGCCCACAGGGTGGGCCGAGCCCGGGGCCCGCCAGGACGCCCGCCCGGCCCGGACCCCTTCTCCTCTTCCTCCGTCGTCTCCTGCCGGAGCCATGGCCTCGCTGCTGTGCCTCAGCCTGCTCGCCGCCGCTGCGGCCGCCACGTCGCCGGGCCGGCTGGTGCCGTTCGACCTGCTGTACGCGGACGGGGTGCGGGCGTACCTGGCGCGGGACTGGGCTCGGGCGGCCGAGCTGCTGCAGCGAGCCCTGCACAGCTACGCGGGGCTGCGGGCGGCCCGCCGCGCCTGCCGCGCCGCCTGCGCCCGCCAAGAGCCCTTCCCCGGCGGGCCCGGGCGCTGGGAGGCCGCGCTGCTCGGGCCGGTGCTGCAGCGAGCCGGGTGCCTGCAGCGCTGCCTGGGGCGGCGGCTGCGCCCCGCGCCCTCCGCGCACCGCGCCAGCCGCGCCGTGCGCCGCGACTTCGAGCGCAGGGAGCCCTACAACTACCTCCAGGTGGCCTTCTTCCAGGTGGGCACCGGCCCCGGGGCGGGTTCGCCGCAGCGGGGTGGGAGCTGCCGCCTCCGGGGGTGCTGTCACGCACGGCAGGGGGCCGGCGTGGCGCGGCTCTCCTGGAGCGTCGCCGGGCAGCCGAGGGGGTGAACGCCTTCCCCGCAGCCTCCAGAAGAGACAACCGAGAGGGAACCTTACTGATGCGCATAAATATCTGCAAGGGAGTTGCCAAGGGAATGGAGCCAGGTTCTTCTCACTGGTGCCAGCCACTACAAGAGGCAACAGGCAGAAACTGATGCGCAGGAAGTTCCACCTTTAGGTGGAATATTAGGAAGAATTTTACTATGCGGGTGACCGTGCACTGGAACAGATTGCCCGGAGCAGTTGTGGAATCTCCCTCACCGGAGACATTCCAAAACCATCTGGATGCAATCTGCTGCCATGTGCTGTGGGACGACCCTGCTTGTGCAGGGAGGTTGGAGCAGATGACCCACTGTGGTCTCTTCCAGTCTGACCTATGGTGTAATTCTGTGATTCTGTGAACCTGGGAAACAGCTGGAGTGAGGGGTGGGTGTGAACAGCAGAGACCTGCAGGGGTATGACAGGCACTGCTACCTTTTCTCCACAGTTGAAGAAGCTGGATCAGGCTGTGTCTGCCGCTCACACCTTCTTCGTCGCTAATCCCCAGCACCTCCAAATGCGGGAGGACATCGAGAAGTACCGGCGTATGTCAGGGGTGAAGTCAGACAGCTTCCAGGACCTGGAGGCCATGCCACACTGGGTGAGGGCTCAGTGCAGAGCCACACATGAGCAACTCTTACTCCACCCTGGGGACCGATCTGGGACCCTGATCTCTTCCCACACAAAGGCCATGGCTTGAGACATGGCTCCCATACACAGAATCATAGATAGGTTTAGTCTTGAAGGGACCTTTAATGATCCCCTAATACAAGTCCCCTGCCATAGGCAGGGATGCCTTCCACTAGATCAGGTTGTTCAAAGCCACACAGTCATCATAAAAGTATCTTATCTCCAACCCAAAAAATATTTTATCTTCCACCAAAACTCTTTTTCAGTTTAATACCATTGCCCCTTGTTCTGTCACTAAAGGCCTTGGTCAAAAGTCTTGCTCAGACCCCTTTGTGTCTGCAGGGCTGCAGGAAGCTCTCCCTGCAGCCCTCTATTCAAGGTGAGGAACAAGCCACTGCAAGTGTGGCAGAGAGACTTTTTGATGACAGTTACTTGGCTTAAGTCTAGGATTTGTTGTCTCACTGCGTGGTTGACTGTGCACGAGCAGGCAGGGCCCTATATGTCAGCATCACCCTGTGAGCAACTCAGAAGTCTCAAGGCATCCTTTGGTGTCACCCACACTAATGAAGGAACCTGGATCTGTCCTTCACAGGAAGCGTATGAGACTGGCGTGCAGCACTATGATGCAGATGAGTACCTGCAGGCTGTGGCCAGGCTGGAGGAGTCACTCTCAGAGGCCCTGTCAGCACTGGAAGAATGTCGTGCCCTGTGTGAAGGGCCTTGGGAGGATGAGGATGAGGAGGAGAAAATGCAGCCTGGCCTATATGAAGCCATTGCAGGTAGTGTTAGAGGCATGGAGGATTGGGTCTTCCCCACACTGTGCACATCCCATCTCCCAGCACTCCTGTCTGGAAAAAGTGTGACCTACTGCCTTTCTTGCTCCTGTCTCTTGCAGCCCATTATATTCAGGTTTTGAAGTGCAGGCAGCAGTGCGTCTTGGAAATTGCCACAAAGCCAGGGAGAATTTCTGCCACAGAAGATTTCTTACCCTCTCATCTTGATTTACTGCAGTTTGCCTACAGCCAGGGTGAGCAGAGCCACAGACCAGTATGCTGTGGCACACCTACACTTGCCCTTTGCCTCTGATCCTGCAGGGCAGCTTGTCGTGGGGAAAAGTGGGCACACTGACCTGAGCTCTACTTCTCTTTGCCCCCTGTTCCCAGAACCTCTCTTCAAGTCTGTGGCCACCTTGGGAGGTGTCCTTTGTGGTCTTCTTCAGTTTCATTGCCCAGGTTCTGTGATGTGAGGCTGTTCCTGTGTCTTTCCTCCAGCACACTTTTTCAGGACCTTGTTCCACCTGTTTGCTGAGTGTTCTATACCCTCCTTTTCAGTACATGGCTCCAGACCAGGCTCCCACTTCCTGCTTTGAGGGTACCCATGCATCTCACCCCAGCGGCGGTGTTCCTTCTGAGGCAGTTCTGCCTGCCCTCGCTGAACTGATGGCCTGTCGTGACACTGGTCATCCTGTCACTGTCACTTTCACACATCTCTCAGCCCTTCTTGTGCATACCCCTGCTCCTCCCCATGCTGACCCAACTGTTTCTTCTGTCAGAGCACTGGTAAAACTTGTATCAAAGCAGCTGCTAGACCCCTCATCTCATCTGTTGCATGAGGGAAGTGGGACCATCTCTCTTAGAGAACATACTTACTTTTAATCTGTTTCTTCTAAACCAGCTCCCAATAAGTACTAAAGGCATGCTTGTTCTGTACCGGGTTCATTCCCATTGTTGGGTGGAGGCAGGGGTTGATGTGTACTTGGTGTAAGGCCAGCTGCCAGGTCCTGACAGGGACACTGGGTGCTGCTGGCCTGTACACATTCGCTGCTCAAGCCTTTCAGAGACATGTGTGTTTGTTGTTTTCTCTCCCTGCCCAAGTTGGGAACCAGACACTGGCTGCTGAATGTGCTGCCTCCTACTTGCTCTTTTATCCCACGGATGAGCCCATGTTGGAGAAAATGAAACAGTATCGCACAGAACTGGGAGAGGACGCAGCTGTCACAGCCAGACAGGTAGTTACAGATCCAGGTCTGTCCTTTTTGGTCCTCCTCTCTCCCTCAGGACAGGATCGCAGTCCAAGAGACAGAAAACGAAAGGTGATTCACTGCAGATATGTGCCAAGGCCAGGACTGAAGAAACTGGAGTTTACTTCTATTCTGTCACAGTCAGTGTCCCTTCAGGACAAGAACGAGCTTTAATTGTGCACAGCAGTGTGATGGGGCAGGCTGCTGCCCTGGACAGGGATGGGGTTGTCGCTTGTGAGGTGGTTGTTTGACAGTCTCTTTGCTTCCACAGAGTATTCAGCATTATGTGCAGAGATCTTTGATGGAGAAGAAGTTGATTTATTATGCAGTGGAGCATCTGGGAGAAACTTTTAATGACCCTGTAGGTATCTTCTAAATCTTGCTGCGTGGTTTCACCGTGGTTCACTATCACAGTTGTCAGAATTCACTTTAGTAGGCCATGATCCAGAAAGGATCAGATGCTGATGAGAAGGACCCCAAAGTCCTTATGTGGTGGATCTTTAAGGCCTTTCTGCTGCTCCAGGACTGAAGCTAATTTGAAATTGCTGCTGTAACCATATGCATTGGCTCAATTTGTCTGTCCTGAGAAGTCAGCCACAGTGGTTGATCTGATACTCACTGGAGAAGCAGTGCAAGGTTTTTTGTGTACTAAACCACCTGTGGTTTTTTTCCTACAGGATCTTTGGACTCCAGATGAGCTGATTCCTGAAGACCTAAAGCAGAAATACAGGTAAGTTTGGGCACATCTGCTAGGACTGCAATATAAGTAGGGGTGG